ATTTTGTCAAATGTCTTTTATGTATATGTTGATATAATCATAAGATATTTCTTCTTAATGTTTTTTATTGTTAATGTATCTTTCTGATACATAGTAATTACATTTGTCTTGGGGAGCTAGTACATATGCATACCTCATTATGATGATTTTTACTTCCTCTTCCCCATCTCCTGTTTCCCCTTCCTCAGGTACAATTATTTCAATAACTGCTACAAAACCCCGGAGACAATGTTGTTAATACAACTGTTGTTATAAAGAGCACATAACAATATGATTTTTCTCAACCTAGTGTCCAGAGATAGCTGGAACTTCATGTGAAGATGGATCAAAAGAGCATCTGTCAAATTTCACAGGTAACTTGCTTTCCAGATCTGTTCCTCCATGGTTTGCCTGTCACAGTGAGCCTAATTCAGTATTTTTTTCTCATGTTCCAAATACTTACCTTTTACTTATTTTCCTTTAATATCTCAAAATCTGACATCAGACTGTCACAATATTTCATCCAAATTTAACAGCTAGTCTAGTAACAGATAATGTGTAGTATAAAAAACAAGTTAAAACTGCAGTCACATTAACTTTCATGAGATAAGTGTCCCCAGGCTTCACCCTTTCACTGAATGGACAAACAAATAAAATTTTTCTGAATCATTTCTGTTGGAGCTCTGGAAAATAGTCAAGAAATTTTAATAACCAAGTGAATTGTGGATCAAAAAAATGCAACTTAAGAAATAAATAGGACACACGTGTAAATACCAAATAGTTTCTCTGGTATGTAAAATGAAAAGTTTAAATGAGAATCAAAATGTATAATTGATTATGTGATATAGAAAGAAAAGGTCTAAAGGAGTAGGGGAAGTGGGAAGGGTAGGGGAAAGGAAAAAAGGGAAATGAAAAAATAGGAGAAGAGGAAAAAATGGAAACAAAGTCTTTGTAAATAGGGAAGGGTGGAACGGGGAAGGGAGGGCAGGGGAATGGGGAAAATGTAAGAACCAAGTTATGTCATGTAATGATACAAGATTGCAATGGTGAATGTAACTGTGTTGTATACATAAAATAATACCAATAAACTTAATGAAAAAAATGCAACTAAATGTGGTAGGTGGATGTTGTGTCTTTTTTTGAGTCCTGGATCCACCCTCCTCTGTTTAGCAAAGGTCTTGAAGACAGAAGCCTACATTTTCAATGTAGTATTCTCATCCCTGGTTTTAAAGGGAGGATAGAAGATCTTGTTTTAAAATCATTTTATTTGTACTTTTGGACCTGCTGGGTATTCCTTGAAGAACTGATGAGTGGTAGTTTTCTTCATTTTGCCTGGCTCAGAGCTATCTCAGGCCACAAAATTGGCTACCCTGGGTGGGTATTCCCTGAAAATATTGATATATAAACAGCATCCTGCTACTGCTTGCAGGAAGAAATTATGATGAAAATTATAGACATGTTGAGAATCACTGTGAAAAAAGGATTTATGTGGAAGTAGATGTATATAGGCAACTAGAAAACCACATATATTCCAACATCAGAATGTATACTAAGAAAATGCCTAACAAAACCCTCAGGTTTCATATCTACTGAGTTTCTATTTAGGCTCAATATAAGCAGAAAGTGAGAGGTAAAGTATTGAAGTAATGCTCTGACAGCTAGTGCTACATGAGGTTTCTTTCTCCAACAATTAAAAAAATCTCTATCATTGAAAGAGCTGAACTTAAGATAAATTACAGAGACTTTGAGCCAACACTAGTGAAATAATCTTTATAAAAAGTTTCTTAAAGTTTCTAAATAAAAAAAAATTATAAGCAACAGTAAGCACGAAGAACAAACCCTGACCATGAGAAAGAGTATGATTTCCAATTATTACATCATAATTTCCAAAATCTCTACTTTTCTACAATACAGTAAAATGCATGGAAAGAAATAGGAAAGTATGGCCCATCCTTCGAAATTTAACAAATTCTTTGTGGGAAAAATTCATTGGACTTAAATAGTCAAAGATATTAAATTACATCTTACATACAATCAAAAAGTTAAAGGAGAACATGGACAAAAGATAGAGGAAAATATGTTAATGATATCTCCTGAAAGAGTATCAATAAAGATGCACATAATTATGAAAAAGATCAAAAAGAGAAATTCTGGAGCTAAAAATAGCAAAAACTAAATGAAGGATTCACTCAGAGCTTCAACAGAAAATTAAGCAACAGAAGAAAGAAAAAGAGAACTTTAATATAGGCCATCTGAATTTACCTAATCTGAGGATAAGGAGGAAATATGAGAACTGTGGGACATCATGAATTCACATGAGTATATGCATAATTGAAGCTTAATGGGAGAGGAGAGAAAAAGAGAAAAGGAGGGAGGAAAGGGAGAAAGGGAAGGAAGAAGGGAGGAAAACAGAGGAGAGGAGAGAGAGTTATGATTGGTATATGGCATGGTAGTTGCTTGGTGTATATATTTGGAAGCTTGGTATTTAGGATAGTGGTATTGGAAGTTGCTGTGGAATCTTTCAGGAGTGAAGTATAATATGAAGTCCATAAGTCATTAGGGGTGTGCCCTCAAAATGGATTAAGGTATTTTCTCCTGGGACCCTGGTTAATATTCTAAAGATTGTTAGAAAAGCATCAAGCCTGGCTTCTCTATTTCTGCTTTCTAGTTGGAGATGTGACTGTTTGCTCCTACATACAACCCACCCGCCTGCTTTCAGAAGCACCTATTTTATGGTGTTTGGGTTTTCAGTCTTGAACACTGTAAACTAAATAAACTTCTATTATTTTTGAGGTTAAAAGCCATATGTATGTTATTAGAGCAACAGAAATAGACTAATACAGAAAATTGGTACCTAAGTGCTGGGTCATTATTGTAACTGTACTTGAAGATGTAGAGGAGCTTTGGGAATTGGTTCATGGGCATAAATTGGAAGAGTTGTTATAAAAAGCCTACAATGCTGAATGTGGAATATTATGGGCAATTCTAGTGAAGGCTCAAAGATGAGAAAACAGTAAATTATCTTTAGGTAGAAATGAAGATTCTACTGGAAATTGTATTGAAGGTGACTCGTGTAAAACCATGGCAAAGAACATGGGCAGATTGTGTCCATTCTTTATGATTTTTGTGGAAAGCGTAACTTAAGAATGATGGGTTGTTTATTTTGAGAAGGAGATTTCAAAAGATGATATTCAGGCTTTGCCATTGGTATTACTAACTCCTTTTCAGCAGATGTTGAGTGACATTTGGGGCCAAAGGAAGCAGAGTGAAAAGGCAGGCAAATTCATAGAAGGAGCAAAAACATGTGCTTGAGACAGAGAGTGTGGCAGTTGAGTCACCTCTCACTAAGAAGATTAACATGGAAAACAGAAACCCAGTGCTGCAACTCAGAACAACTCTTGACAACTCAGAGGAATCTCACACTTCTTCAAAGCCATCTTCCTAAGGCAAACCTTGGGGTCTATCTGTACACTTTTGGTGCAGAGATTTTCCAGTGCACAATTTTGTTAAGAAAGAACCCCAGTATATTTTGCAAATCTAAACCACTTTGAGATCTGGCTTACTGGCAAAGTGCTCTGAAGTTTCTGCAGCCATGGTTGAAGTGGGACTTGGCACAGCACCTCCTGAAGGCAGGCTTTGGCATCATTGACATGATGGTTTAGTAGGCATAGAAAATACAAGAATTATGGAGTCATGGTGTCTTACACAAAAATCTTGAAAGAATGTCTGGCAGGCTATGAAAACTTGGCCCTGTAAGGTCTGAGCACATAAATTGTGCCCTTGATGTGGTGATACTTAGTGGAGCTGTGGAAGTTGAGCCACAGTGGACACCCCAAAAAAAATAGAACAGCAAAAGGCATGACACACCTGCTTGGGAAAGCTGTCAACACCAATGTGAAGCCTCAGAGAACAATCACATGGTGGGAACACTCAAAACCATAGGAATGGGGTATCCATGTCCCTGGGGACTTACACTTTGTTGCATTTTGTCCATGATACTATATATGGAGATTTAGGGCCTAACAAGTATTCTGTCAAGCTATGTTCTTGCTTTAGGCTGATTATAGGTTTCCACTCCCCTATTTATCCATTCTGGAATAGAACGTGTATTCTGCAGTGGTTCCTCCATTGTAGTATTGAAGGATGTAACTTTTTAATTTTTATAGGGACTCACAGCTGACAGAGTTTGCCAGGAGTCTCAGATTGCATTTTGCACTTGGATTTTTGAGGATTAATGAGACTATTAACAGCACAAGACTGTTTAGAATGAATTTATTCTGCATTGTGAGATGGACATAAACCTTGGGGACCTAGGGGCAGAATTCTATGTTCAGATTATGGATTGGTTGTTCCCTAAATGTCCATCTGATAGAAAGCTTGTCTCAGTGTAGCACTCTTGAGAGGGTCTGTGGAACCTTAAAGAAATGGGGTCTAGTGAGAAGTCTTTATACCTCTAGGGGACATGCCTTTGAAAGCAATGAATGTATTTTTTCATGGGATCCTGGTTAATTGTCATGAGAGTGTTATTAAAATGTAAGTGTTATCATTCAGTCTCTCTCTTTGTCTTTCTCTCACCTCTTTCCTCAATGTTTAGATTATGTTCTCCCTCTTTTCTCAGATTTGTAGCCATTTTTTTGGAACAGTGACAGTGTTAAGTTCATATTTGTGTTCTTAACAAGTCTAAATCTTTGCATCTCAAATTTTTGCCCATGAAAATCCCAATCAATTTCTGTTTCTATTTAACCTGAGTCTCTTGTAGCACTCTGTCTACTCCCATTTCTCACCTTCTTCTTCACGTACCTGTCTCCTTGAGGCCAGCTCCCTGTCTTCAGGTTGCTCCAGAGAGACCTGAGCAATGACCAGCTTCTTTCCCAAAGACTGGCAGGCTGCTGACTCACTGCTTCAGTTCAGGATTTGGCTGCTTCTATGAGAGTGGGGGCTGAATTTATCCTCAGAGCAGAGCATTTCCCTCTTCTTCCAGTTATGGGAGGATCTGTTTCATTCTTGTTCATATCCTTAGTTCCTGACAAAATGGAATATTTGAATGTTCAAGAAATACATGATGATAAGGAAATTAGCATATATATCTGAGCAGTTTTCCTCAGGTGAATGTGAACAGCTACTTCTATGAATTGCCATGAGAAACAAACAAGATATAAAGGCAAAGTCAGCATCTCACCAATAACTTATTTTCTAATGTTGAGTAGGACTATAGATATTTTCTAAGGAGAAGAAGTTTGAAGTCAGTCAGAGATATGATTGAGCCCAGAATCCAACAGTAACTGGTTTGGGAGACCAAAATACTCACCCCAAATATATTTCTTTTGTATATGTTGAGTTGGGTATTCAGAGAGCCTACCAACCCATGATACCTAGTAAAAAGAAATTTATATCTATCTACATTAGTAAATAGTGGATGCAAGTAGAGGCTTTTCTATCTGATATCCTCCTGTTCAACTAGGGAGAGCTTTCATAGGAAGAAGAGTTTGGGGGTCTGAACATGGCCCAGGCAGAGATTGCTACACATGACTATTACCTGGAAAACTTCATCTACATCCCAAGACATCAATTGGTCAGTGGGCATCTCCTCACTTAACCTTCCAGAGCCTGCACCAACTTTGTCCCCTCAGAATTCCAAGTTCCTATCTTTTGGGTGAGCTTTTATAAATTTCAGCCATCTTGCCCCTCTTTGAGTCTTATCCTGTATGTGTAGCTCCATGCTTTTCACATGAACAAATTTGTATGTCTTTTCCCCTGTTAGTCTATGTATTGACAGTGACTTTCACAGAACAAAATTACCAAACCTTTAGAGGTAAAAAGTAAAATTGAAACTTTCCTACTTTATCTATATATACTTTTAGTAGAAGAAAGTTAACCCAAGCAATGACAAGCAGCTAAATGATGGATGAATTTATTTGTGGCAGTACTATTACCTACCTCAATAACATTCATGGAAATAAAATGAGATAATGTAGTTTAATGTACTTATTCTTGCCCTGAAATCTACGTTCAAATGGAAATTAATCTCTAACTCTCCCTCACCATACAATTGACTTAAAGATTCAATCTGTGGGAGTAAGAAACATCAAGGAGGATCCCTGTAGCTACCAAATTCTGTGTGTAATGGGAACCTCTGAGACTTTTGTTATGACTGTTATCATCTTATAGTTATTGGTTCTCAGAGAGTGGTATCCCCCAAATATAGTAAATTTTTTATATGCTGAGGCATTTCTGTAAAGGGAGAGGCACTCTCTCTCTTGCTCTGAAATTACCCTTCTGGATTATGTATAAGATCTGCATTATTACCTGACTGCAAGAGTAAACACAGTGTTCTCCATCTCTAGCCTGAAATCCAATTCTGTATCTCAGGGAAAAGCACTGAGGAAATGTACTTACACTTGGATGGGTTTGCTTTACAAATTCTGTACTTTGGGTTCATTGAAATTACAAAGACACTTTGCTTATGTCCATCATTCACCTAAGAAAAATTTCTAATTCCTCAAAAATGTCTACATGTCTCTCTCTCTCCTTTCCTTATAGAAAAACCATATATGCACTTGTGAATAACAATACAGAGGTGAGTAATCATACTTTATGATTTTACACCATGATGTATTTCCTCACTTTGCATGAGAAAGATTAATATGATGTTTCTACCACCTAATCATGTCAGCTTATTCTACTAAACATCGAGAGAGGAATAAGGAAATTCCCTTTGGTGCTACAGAGTTCTTGGAGGACACAATTTTACACTCTCATGCTGAGCCTTGTATTATTACCTATGCCTTTTTTATGGATGTGGTATAAGTTCACAAGAAACAGAGCCTGTGTGTATAATACTGAAATTTCTTCATAGTGAGAGCACATTGTCTGTACATAGTAGAATCAGTAGAAGTTTTATTAATGTACAAAATTAGCAAGCAGGTGTGACACAGCTCCGAGCCCAGAGGAGACCTCCAGATTGGTGCACCACAGCTCCCAGGCAGCAGGAGGCTTCCAGGTAGGTGAGCTACGGCTCCCAGCATAGAGGAAGCTTCCGGGTAGGTGTGCCATGGCTCTGAACCCAGAGGAGACCTCCAGGTCACTGCGTCATGGCTCCTAGGCAGCAGGAGGCTTCTGGGTAGGCATGCTGCGGCTCCCAGCATGGAGGAAGCTTCTAGGTAGGCGTGCCATGGCTCTGAGAACAGAGGAGGTGAGCCGCACGGGCACCAGGAACACC